GGAGCATAAGATGTAGAAGGCTGTGACTATTGTCGTACGTCATCCGCCTTCAAAGAATCCATTTGATTGTTCAATACAGACAATTCCGCCTCCAACCCTTGAACGCGCCCCTCAAGCCCCGCTACCTTAAGTGCAGATGCCTCCTTCTCCTTGGTCCACCGTTGCCTTATTGACAACCGCCGCCGCCTCAGAGAGGGTCTTATACATAGAGAGCATCCTCCAAAACGCCCGCCTCAGAGACAACAGTCGCCAATTTATCGGCACTCACGCCCAACTCACCTTTAAGCTCATTGATCTCCGCCATTTTCATATCCAGTTCGACAGTTAAATTGGCCACCTTTTCTTGGAGGTCGGCATTCTCGGCCATTCCCCCCCCCACTTAGTTCAAGCTCATCTTCATTCACTTTAAGGGATGCCTCGAGCTTACAGTTACAGGCGATGGCCTTCATAAGGTCCTCGTCTCGTTCCCTCAAATCCTCGACCTTATGTGCCAATTGATCCTCCCTCTACTTGAGCCCTTTGCAGAATAGTTGGAAGTCAGGATCTTGGTTGTAGATGTCGTCCATCGCGCGATGCTTGGTGCGATATTCTTGGTACTTGGAAGACATCTTTCCATAGAGGGTCATTCTCCTCCTTTCTCGATGCTCTTGCTCGATCTCCATAATGGGGTCTAGCACGAGAAGTAAAAGTTAAAACAAACGGGCCAAAAATAGTAACACAGATCCAACGACGAAATAAAAAGAGACATTTACCCGTAGAGCCATGCCAGAAATGCTCCGAGACAACTCCGCATCACTCATCTCTTTAAGTGTCTCACTCTCAAGGGGAGCACACAAAGGGGCAAAAATAGATGCCACCCGAACACAGTCCGATAGTAAGTCATAGTCCCCAGGAACAACTATGTGTCGATCAGAACCCTCCATTCTGACCTCTATATGAGTGTGATGCTCCACAAACTCGCGATCATCCCCTGGTTCGACATCTGAACCCGAACCGTTGCCCTCAGCGCGCAAACCCCCGCCAACGGTAGATGATGTGCCGCCCTTGGCGGAGCAAACAAACCCCCCCTCCTTGATAAACCCCTTTTTGTTTGGGGAGATCTCCCCACCAAGATGGCGTCGGCCATAAATGTGGGTACCGGTGCTGTCTTCGATGCACCCGTCCTGCTCTTACCTGTTTCAACGACCACGCTCTTCCCAAGCTCCATCCTCCTCTTCTTTCTCAGTGAAGACTCATCCCCATTAGAGGACTCATCCATGAGGTGTTGAACTGGTAAAGAAGGGATCTCCTCCATTACAACCATATCTCGAGAGGAGTCCCTCGCCTGTACCAACTGGGCACGACCCTCTCGGGAGGACTCACCTAAAGTGAATTGCATCCCCGTCGGGGGCAATGTCCCGACGAAATGCAGGGACAGGGGCCCCCATCTAGAAGCTCCACGACCTGTCATCATTTAGAGTCATATCAATAGACAATGATATATAGCCGAAGAATGATGCCAAGGGAGACACTCACCAGATGAAACTTTCAGCCCAAAGCATTTCATGAAAGCGGGCCAATCTCGAGTCTCCACTGCATGGGGAAGCAGACAGGCTACCCAATCCCTTATAGCTGCAATGGGATAGGGTGGGCGCCCCTTAGCTGCAAAAAAAAGATAGCCGCAAATAAACGCTAAGGTGAATGAAGAAAATAGAAAGATTAAACAAATGGTGGCACTTACGATTCTCATTCCACCACTAAGGAAATCTAGCGGGGACGGATACGATGTGTTCAGTTCTGACGAAGAAGTATTTATGCTAAAATTTGTGGCTCGCCTGATCATCGGCTCCAACCACCAGCCCTTTTGTCCCACGGTGCCTCATATGCACCATAGTACCCATGTGAAAGCTGGGTGAAAACAAGTTTAGGAGGTGGTGAACGGTAACTTCACACCCCACCAACTCCGCATACTTCATCAACAACAGGAGTATTTTGAGCGTGTACGAGGAGAGTTGCGTCGGGAAAACCTGATAAAATCGATAGAACTCTTCCGCTAACGGGAGAAGGGGGAAGGAATGACCAATCACAAAGGGGTACTCATAAAAAGCACAGTACCCCGATCTATGGACTTCCACGAAGTCCATTCCCGCTGGAACCATCTCAATATGAGCAGGAATGTTATATTTTGCATGGAGGGCATTGATGTGGACTTGCTCAGTTTCAGAGAATACTGGGGTGGGAGTAGGAGGAGGATCTTTGAGAAAGTCACTTCGAGACATAGGGTGTCTCGGCAGTAGCTCATCCACGGTGGGAAAGTTATCCCTTTCCTCCATCGCCAGGTCCTCGCCACCGGGAGGGGGCGCCATGGATAGTGGAGTGGAGTCAGAAACCCCCTCATGTGATCGGTGTGTTCTAGGCATGTTTATGAAGGGAGATGTACTAATAGAACAAGAAAGACCAAGAACGATGAACGAGAAAGAGAAGATGAAGAAAAACGCAAAAGCAAAGCTAGAAATGTGAAAGGAAATGATCGGAATAGAAATGGCAAGATGTTTTTGAAAAAACAAACCCTTCCCCTATTTATAAGGTTGGGTGGCACAAGAATCGAAGCGAAAAGGCTTCCCGTGGCAGCAAAACCAAAGCGACAGGCCATCATGTTGTTCCTCGGGAAGACGTGCCATGATGATGCACGTGGGAGTGATGTCACTCCAAAGATAGCACACACCACCCAAGGCATAGCGAAATGCATCGTTCTTCCATTATCAGCCAAAACCGTCATGGCTTGCAAATCAAATTTCTTTGTAAGCATGGACGACGTTCGCTTATCAAGGACGCCCCAAGCAGTGACTTCAATAAGCGGAGGGACTAATTGTATGGGTCAAAATTTGGACGACTATGACCGATACCAAGTGTACGGAGAGCAAGGTCCCTATGACGCTGCGTGTTAAGGATCGTTACGATAGGACGACGATTGACGGTGACTAGCAAACGTATGACGTTAGTGGACGTGTTAGCATGATGAGAAACAACGGGAATATGCCTTTCGAATATTCTTTGTGTTGTACTTTCCTTCTTTTAGGGTAAAAAGGGAGATTGTCTCCTATAAAAGGGGACCAAACATTCTATAAAAGGGGGGGATTTTTTGGATCACAATTTTGAGAAATATATATGACTTTTACTTGAAGCTAAGAATATCTGTTGCAAAATCTCTCTACATTCAAAGTTGTCATATTTATAATTTGTCGTTTTGCTCTAAAATACAAAGAAATATTGTTCATCTTGTTCATTCTTAGCATCCTTCAAGCTAGATCTTATTATACTTGGCTGAGATTTACCCTTTCAACTTTCTTAATTGATTTAATCAAAAAGGTTTCAATATCTTTTGGTCAAACAAATAGTTCGCACCAACCAATAGTCCATGGTACATAATTAAAGGAATAGGATACCTGGGCATTATATATTAGGAGTACAAATTAAACTTACAACTCAAAGAGATAAGAGCTCGTGATCATACTCTTTTTTTAAACTTCTTACGATACGTCTAGAGGACACCATATAATATAAAAATGCAGTACTGACTTCCCACCTTTTTTTGGTTTTTCATCCGACGTCTGGTACTGTATGGTCAAAATTTCGACGACAACGACCGATACCAAGTGTAGCAGAGAGCGAGGCCCCTATGACGCTGCATCTTAAGAATCGTAATGATGGACGATGATTGATAGTAGTTAACGAATGCACGACGTCTGTGGTCGTGTTAGCATGATAGGAAAAAATGGGAATATGCCTTTCGAATATTCTTTGTGTTGTACTTTTTTCTTTTGGGGTAAAAAAGGAGATTGTCTCCTATAAAAAGGGACCGAACACTCTGTAAATGGGGGAGATTCATTTATCACAATTCTGAGAACGATATACGATTTTTATTTGAAGTTGAGAATATCTGTTGTAAAATATCTCTACATTCAAAGTTGTCATATTTATAGCATGTCGTTTGTTTCTGAAATATAGAGAAATATTGTTCATCTTGTTTATTTTTAGCATCTTTCAAGCTAAATCTTATTATACTTGGTTGCGATTTACCCCTTCAAGTTCTTTAATTAATTTAGTCAAAAAGGTTTCAATATCTTTTTTGGTCAAACAATTTGGCGCCGTCTGTGGGGATTTCTTTAGCTAAGATTTTAGTCTCATCTAGACTCTTGAAAGGGATAACCATCTCTTCCTAGATTTGTATAAACTAACAATGGCAGGGAAAGGAGATGCAAGACTGAAAGCGATAGTAAGCGTCACAACCAGCCTTCTGAACACCAACAACGAAGATAGTAGGGAAGATAACGAAAATGAAACGCCGGGCATCACACCCAGGGGAGACGATTCACCTCCTCTGCACGGAAGTGTAACTGCTTCACGCGAGAAGGAAGCCTCCACATCTACAACAGGAGAGGCACTGCCAGTAGTGCGAAGACTGTTGGAAGAATGGCTAACAAGTACTCAGAATGCCATACTTGACAAATCTGCCCAAAGGGATAACAGGAATGTTGCACATGCAGATGTCATGATAAACACTGATGAGCAGGATGCCTCCCATACAGGTAACACTTATGTCGCTAATGACGCAGGTAATGATACGCTTGCAGCTATTTTAAAGAAAATAGAGGAGATGGAAAATGAGAATAAAGCACTCATCGACCAAATGATGGAATACCAAGCGAGGGTCGACAAAATACCAGGCACTCCAAAGTTGTTGCCAAAACATGATGTTGGTCGATTCATCGAGCAACCATACAGTGAAGAAACGGCCACCTCCAAAGACCTTCAAAGTGCCACCCTACCAAAATATATATGATGGTACTACCGATCCAGAGGATCATATCATCCATTATATTACAGCCGTGAAAGGTAACGATCTTTCAAAAGAGCAGGTACCATCGGTGCTATTGAAAAAATTTGGCGAAACCCTAACAGGGGGAGCCTTGACATGGTACTATCAACTGTCGGCACGCTCGATAGCAACATTCAAAGAAATGGCAGATAAATTTGTCACCGCCCATGTAGGAGCCAAAAAGGCAAAAGCTAGGGTAAATGATATATTTGTCGTAAGGCAAATGCACAGCGAGGGACTCAGAGACTTCTTAGCTCGGTTCAACAGGGTGAGAATGAGCTTGCCGAATATGTCGAAAGGAATGGCAGTAGAAGCCTTCCAGAACGGGCTAAACAGGAACAGGTCGAGAGTGACCAGAAAATTACTAAGCAGGCTCATGAAATACCCTCCAACCACTTGGGAAGAAATCCTCAATGCTTAGTGTGCCGAGGTACGAGCTGACGAGGACGACCTCAATGGTCTAACCCAACGGTTGATATCACTTCAAGCTGAAGCAAAGAAAGATCGCTGTAACGACGGTCGAAGATATCAGTTGGGGCCCCGCCTCGGCCGAGAAAGGCATCAGCCTTACATCAGGATGTCTGCCCCGCCTCCACCATGGCACACAAATGCTCCCCCTCGACATACAATGCCATATCGACACGAGAAAGGTATGCCTCCACTCCGATATGCTCACAATTTTTGTGTTTCTCCTTCAGAAATAGTGTACGCACTGGAGAAACTCGATCCAAAGGTGCAATGGTCGCAAAAAATGAGGTCAGACCCCAACACCCAGAAGTCAAGCACTTTCTGCAAATTTCACCAAGAAAGGGGTCACAAAACCAAAGATTGCATAAGACTGCAACAGGAGGTAGTGCGAATGCTAGGCCAGGGACACCTGAAAGAGTTGCTAAGCGATCGAGAACGGGCTAACTTCGCCCGCGGACGCGAACAGCCCCAGGGACCTCCAAAACTGCCTTCTCCCGCTCGCACTATACAGATGATCATCAGTGGAGGCGATGGCACAGCAATCAATCATGTCAAATTCACCACCACACATAAACTCAAATGATTAATCACCCACGAATGGTATGATGACCTCGAAGATAGTATCATTTTCGATAAGTCAGATGCCGACGGTTTGTCTTTCCCTCACTATGATGCTCTTGTTATCACTTTACGTATCGCAGATACTGATGTAAAAAGAATAATGGTATATGACAGGAGTGGCGCTTGTATTATCCATACTCGAGTCCTCGTGCAGATGAGACTCGAAGATAAAGTAATACCGTGTTGTATAACGCTAACATGTTTTAATAATGCAGTTGAACGGACTTCTGAAGAGATAGTCCTACCTGTCCTAGCCGGAGGAGTCACCCTGGAAACGACATTTCACATCATGAACCGGGAAATAGCTTACAACGCCATCATAAGGCACCCATGGATACACACCATGCGAGCGTCCCTTCTAGTCTCTATAAATTGATCAAGTTTCCAAACCCATAGGGAATATTTAGCATTCGAGGGGGAGCAGTGCACCGCACAAGAATGCTATCGCATCGCCCAAGATTGCACACACCCAACAACTCAAAGGAGCGAGTGCGGAAGCATAGCAATCAGCGATGTTGGGAGCCAAACTTGAGGTACGGACAGACGTTATCAAGGACCCCGACATCATAGAAGCATCCGAATCAATGATAGAAAATCTTGATCCCATCCTGCTGGACGGCAACGATAGTACAAAAAAGGATTATATCGGGCACAACCTCTCGGAACTAGGTAAGTTTCATAAGTTCTTGACTGACCATGCTGATCTTTTTGCCTTCTCCCATGCAGATATGCCAGGAATCCCAAAAGATATCGCCATCCACAAGCTAAATGTCGATCCACTTTACCCGTTGGTGCGGCAAAGAAGAAGGAAGTCCAACGCCGCTATCAAGGAAGTCGTCAGCGAAGAGGTTGATAAGCTACTCACGAATGGTTCGGTCCGGGAATCAAAATATCCTCAATGGGTCGCCAATGTGGTCATGGTGAAAAAGAAGAACGGAAAGTGGCGGATGTGTGTAGATTTCACGGATCTAAACAAGGCATGTCCGAAATATTCTTTTCCATTACCACACATCAACCAGCTCATCGACACAACAGCAGGGCACAAGTTGCTAAGCTTCTTGGATGCCTATTCGGGTTACAATTAGATCCTCATGGAAGAAGGAAACCAGGAGAAAACCACTTTCATCACTCACCAGGGAACATACTACTATAAAGTAATGTCATTCGGGCTAAAGAATGCGGGGGCGACATATCAGAGAGTGGTCACCAAAATGTTCAAAAACCAAATTGGTAGAACAATGGAAGTCTACATCGACGATATGCTGGTTAAGTCGAAAAGGAAAAAAGATCATATCGATCATCTGAAAGAATCCTTAGATATATTAAGACGGTACAGCATGAAGTTGAACCCCGAAAAATGCGCCTTCGGTGTAAGCTCGGGTAAGTTTCTCGGTTTCCTGGTATTCCAAAGAGGCATCAAAAGTCAATACAGAATAGATTAAGGCCATCGGAGGAATACCCAAAATGCTGACCAGCAAAAAGCAGGTACAAAAACTGACGGGATAGATAGTCGCCTTGTCGAGGTTCATCTCACGGTCATCATATAGATGCCACAAATTCTTTAATGTATTAAGGAAAGACAATGGACTTCAATGGAATTCAGAATGTGTCAACACCCTAAGGAAACTGAAGGCATACTTGTCTTCACCACCCTTGCTCGCCAAGGCAGATCCAGGAGAATGACTCCTAGTCTACCTGGATGTATCCGAAGTCACGGTAAGTATAGTTCTAGTCCGAGAAGACAAAGGTACGCAATCTCCAATTTACTATATCAGCAAAACCTTAATTGACGCTGAAACAAGGTACCCCCACCTCGAGAAACTGGCTCTAGCAGTAGTCATAGCTTCACGAAAGCTTAGACCGTATTTCCAATGCCACCCCATAAAGGTGGTGACAACCTTTCCCCTCAGGAGTATCCTACACAAACCCGAATTATCAGGAAGGTTGGCTAAATAGGCCATAAAATTGAGCGAACATGATATAACATATCAATCGCGAACCGCGATAAACTTGCAAGTGCTCGCCGACTCCAATGCGGAAATACTACCCGAAGTCGAGAAAGAAGCACTTCGCACTTCACCTAAGCGATCTGACCTCTGGGTCCTCTACACCGATGGAGTGTCCAACCCATCGGGATCGGGACTGGGACTCGTACTCAAAGTCCCAATAGGTGAAGTAATTCGTCAATCTGTACGATGCCCTGAAATGACTAACAATGAGGCCGAGTATGAGGCCGTAATTGCAGGATTAAAATTGGCTCTCAAATATGGTGCTCGATGGGTCATCCTCCGCTACGACTTTCAACTCGTTTTGAATCAAGTTGCTAGGACTTTCCAGATTGAGGAACAAAGGTTGTAGAAATACCACACCGAAATCTACAAATTGCTACCAGAATTCGACGAATGACGATTCGACCAAATACCCCGAGCACAAAACATCGAAGCAGACGGTCTCGCCAAGCTGGCAGCAACAACTAAAAACATCACCAAGGAGAACGTGGTCACCCTCCTCCACTCATCAATAGACCAAGTCGAGGTACATTTTGTAAATTTAACATGGGACTGGCGTAATCGCATCATATCATATCTACAGGAAGGAACACTCCCACACGATAAAAAATAAGCTAAAAAGTTCTGAATACAAGCGGACAGGTACAGCCTCATAAACCACGACCTTTACAAAAGGACGTTCGGCGGCCCCTTAACCAAATGCCTTGGACCAAATTAGACAAGGCGTGTGCTCGAAGAGGTACACGAAGGCCACTGCAGTGTCCATACAGGCAACCGGGCCCTCGTCAGGTGTCTTATTCATGCAGGATACTACTGGCCCACTATGAAAAAAGAGGTCGCGCAGTACATCAAAAAATGTGAGCAATGCCAGAAATACGCCCCTATGATACACCAAGCGAGAGAACTCTTACATTCCGTCACCTCCCCATGGCCGTTTATAAAATGGGGGATGGATATCGTTGGGCCCCTCCCAGCAGGGCGAGGTAAAATACGCTTCCTTTTGGTTTTAACGGACTATTTTTCCAAATGGGTGGAGGCAGATGTGTTCGTTTAAATACGCGAACAAGAAGTCATTGTGTTCATCTGGAAAATATCATATGCCGCTTCGGCATCCCCAAAGAGATCAGTTGCAACAACGGACCCCAATTCACCGGGAAAAAGACGACTGATTTCTTCGAGAAATGGCACATCAAGCGGATACTCTCCACGCCATATCATCCCACCAGCAATAGTCAAGTGGAATCCTCCAATAAAATAATATTGAACATATTAAAGAAAACGCTTGAGGACGCCAAAGGGCTATGGCTGGAATTGCTACCAGAGGTGTTATGGGCTTACCGCACAACGCCAAAAACAAGCACGGGTGAGACGTCGTACTCACTGGTCTACGGCACTGACGCAGTCATACCCGTTGATGTCGGGGAACCTAGTCTGAGGTACTCCAATGAGAGTGGACCAAGCAACTATGAAAGCAGATTACAAGACCTAGATGAGGCCGAAGAACGAAGGATATGGCACACATAAGAATGGTGGCCCAGAAGCAACAAGCAGAAAGGTATTATAACAAGAAGGCCAAATTACGACCACTTAGAGTCGGGGACTACGTAATAAAAGTCAAAACGCAAGTAGCGAAAGACCCAAATGAAGGGAAATTGGGAACAAACTGGAACGGGCCATATAAAATCACAGCAGCAGCAAGCAAAGGAGCACTCCAACTAGAAACAATGGAAGAAAAACTACTACAAAACAACTGGAATATCGCCCACCAAAAGCACTTCCACTTCTGAAAAGAGACGCTGCCCAGGTCGTACTTCTTTTCCCTCGCCCGGGTTTTGTCCCAATCGGGTTTTCTCGGGAGGGTTTTTAATGAGGTGACGAGGTGGACGTCTCGAGGTTTGAGGTATTGTTCATTGCCCCGCCTACTGATTACATCTCCAGGCCGAGCAATGAAGGGACTAGATATTAAGAATCTCCATTATATGTACAAAATCGACATGTACCGCCGTTGTACGAGCAAAGTTGACATGTATCTCCGACATATGAATAAAATCACTCCATTATGAACATGAAATCAACACGCGTCTCCAATGCATGAATAGAACCGGCATCTACAACACTCCAACAAATAAAAACCCTCACGATGGGATATTACTTCGGCACCAGCTCGAAAGTAACATCCCAATGGCTAAGGCCATCGACAAAGAGTGAGTTCGATATCATTCGAACCACGACGGGATATTACTTCGGCGCCAGCTCGAAAGTAACATCCCAATGGCCAAGGCCATCAACAAAGAGTGGGTTTGACATCATTCGAACTACGACGGGATATTACTTCTCCACCAGCTCAAAAGTAACATCCCAATGGCTAAGGCCATCGACAAAGAGTGAGTTCGACATCATTCAATCCACGACGGGATATTACTTCGGCGCCAGCTCGAAAGTAACATCCCAATGGTTAATGCCATCGACAAAGAGTGAGTTCGACATCATTCGAACCACAACGGGATATTACTTCGGCGTCATCTCGAAAGTAACATCCCAATGGCTAAGGCCATCGACCAAGAGTGAGTTACAAATATATTACAAATATTTGTCTTTACAACGGGTTCAAAAATGCCCTTACAAAAATCGCAAAGCAAAAAGTAAGCACAAAACAAATACTACACATCATTTCTGATGGCATACACGCCTTCGTACCAAGAGTCAGAGGCAAGTCTATTCGCATCATCAAAATTAATATCATCTTCATCATGCGTGAGAGGATCGTATCCACATGCCTCACGAGCTGCATGAACCTTAGCGCGTACATCCCAAAGCTCCGCTTCAGACGCCCTCCCATCAACATGAAGAGCTTTGTACACATCGAGTTGAGCCTCGGTGTGAACCCACAACTCATATAAATGTCGAGGCACGACAAGATCAACTGGGGCATAAGATGTGGAAGGCTGCGACT